GCCTCTGCCTCTGCCTCTGCCTCTGCCTCTGCCTCTGCCTCTGCCTCCCAAGTGCTGGGATTAAAGACCTGTGCTGTTACACCTAGCTGGTGTACGTTTGTAACTTTTTTTTTTCCCCTAAGACAGGGAGGGTTTCTCTGTGTGGCCCTGGCAGTCTGAAACTCTCTCTGTAGGCCAGGCTGACCTTGAACTCAGAGATTCACCTGTCTCTGCTTCTCAAGTGCTGAGATCAAAGGCATGCACCCCCACCATCCCAGCTGACCTTTGTGACTTTTTTTTTTTTAAGATTTATTTATTTATTATGTATACACAATATCTCATTATGCACCAGATCTCCTTATAGGTGGCTGTGAACTACCATGTGGTTGCTGGGAATAGAACTCAGGTTTGGAAGAAAAACCAGTGCTCTTAACCTCTGAGCCATCTCTCCAGCCCCCGCCCCTTGTAACTTTATAATGATAGAATATGATCAGCTTTCTGTGACATTAATTTACATTGTCATATTCCTTCCTATGGAAACATCCTGAGTTCATTCTTCACTGGTACAATCAAATACTTGATTTGTTTTCCACGTGATGTTAGCCAAAAGGCTTAGAAGTAATTGAAACTGGATTTTTTTTTTTCTTTTTTTCTTATTCAAGGCAGGGTTACTCTGTATAGCCCCAGCTGTCCTAGAACTCTCTCTGTAGACCAGACTGGCCTTGAACGCAGAGATCTGCCAGTTTCTGCCTCCCAAGTGCTAGGATTAAAGTCATGTGTCACTATTGCCTGGTGAGACTGGATAATTTAATAAAGAAAAGAGGCTTACTTAGTGCGAGGTGTTGGGAGATTGAAATCTAACATCAGGTGGCTTCATCTGGTTGGCCTCTTGTGAGGAAGGAGGGCCTTTGGACTACAGTAAAGCCTGGTAAATAGCATCACGTGGCAGAGCTGATGGCTCTGGAAGAAAGATCTTGGGAAGATCCAGGCTGAGAACAATCTGCTCTGAAAGAGCTAATCTTGTCCCTTGAGGGACGGCACCCCCGTGAGACAACAGTAATCCTTCTTAAGCAGCTAATTACTTCTCTTAAGGTCTGCTACCTCAATCCCTTTACCTTGGGGACAAATCACATTCAAACAATAGCAGTGGATGCATCCGATTAAACCAGTTCCCTGTCCTAGAACACTAGCTTTTGTTTTTGTTTTTAATTATAACTTGCTGGTAAAGACACTTACTCCCAAGCCTAATGACCTGAATTTGTTCCCATGACCCACTTGGTGGAAGGAGAGAACTGACTTCTACAAGTTATCCTCTGACTTCCACACGTACACAATAACTAAGTAAATAAATAAATATTTAAAAAAGAAACTAGTACAGTGAGGAACTTTGTATGTCCTTGGCATGACTGTGACTATTGTTAAATTTTCTGATTTTCACATGGTATGGTGGCCCATGCCTTTAACCCAGTGCTCGGGAGGCAGAGGCAGGCAGATCTCTGAGTTTGAGTCCAGCCTGGTCTACAAAGTGAGTGCAAGACAGCCTCTGTTGCACAGAGAAACCCCTTTTCCAATTGCAATTATATTGGTAAAAATCCAAAGGTCTGCATCTCTGAAACTAGTTGATGAGGAGATAGCCAACAGATGAATGGAAGTGTCCATCAAACATAGCATGAATACAAGCAGGAAACAAGAGCTACCCTCCTGTGTGCCCACTTAGGGGGCAAGAGTAATGCGTCTTACCTGTGTGAAAGACCACACTGATGTGGTTTGGGTTGATGGAAAAGCCAGGGTCAAAGCATGTATGTGGGATGTCACTTTTTACCTTAAAAGACAGAAAAATCAAGATCAAATTAGGATTTACTTGATTTTTTTTTTCCTATGAGGAAACTGGAGAAATGAACAGGAAGTGATTGTATTTACACTTCGTTTGGGATCACAAAGGGACAGGACCCAAGGAAGACTGTTAACTCTCTACTGTTAATATTTTATTTAAATGATGACACCCCCTGCCCCATTGCCACACACACACACACACACACACACACACACACACACACACACACACACTTCTTTCTTTTTTTCCCTGAGACAGTGACTTTAGCCCAGGCTGGCCTGAAACTCTCCTTGGAGCTGGGGATGACCTTGAACTTCAGATCTTCCTGATTTTTCTACTCAAACAGGTTTCTGGTCTTGTTTGTTTTTTAAGCCCTTCCTCCCCGCTAACCCCCAATGCTGGGGATGGAATCCAGGGTGTGTGTATGCTGGGCTGATGCTAGGCCACTGACCCACAGCCCCAGCCCTCCATGGGAACTCGGTTGAACTGCTTGCTTCCGCAGCACACACGCTAAAATTGGAACAATTCAGAGAATATTAGCATGACCCCTACGAAAGGATGGCACATAAATTTATGAAGTGTTCCATGTTTTAAAAAAGTAAACAAACTTTAGAATTTCTAAGATGTTTGCTAGTATTACAATTGTTCCTCTCTAGGCGTAACAACAGAGTGGACCCCCACCTGCCCAACATCTAGGATTACAGTCTCAAAGAAACAATACAGCCTTACAATCACGCAAGTGAATAGCTGAGGTAATTGTTAACAGAGTCTTTCTTCGGCCTGCAACAGCAACCACAGTTAGTGTCGGCTTTTTTTCTGAGCAAAGTATCTGGGTTGTTAGACAGCTGCACGCCGAATGGGGCTCACTGACTCAGGGTTAGCTGGGTGTGGTGTGGTTCGTGCCATTAATACCAGCACTCTAGAGGCAGAGGCAGGTGGATCTCTGTGAGTTCCTAGCCAGCCAGAGATACACACAGTGAAATACACATGTATACATATTGGTCTTTTTTCTTCTTTCTTCCTTCCTTCCTTCCTTCCTTCCTTCCTTCCTTCCTTCCTTCCTT